CCCCGAGGGAGGGGCCGAGCACGGGCACGCGCACAGAAGGCCTAGCATGTTTGCACAGGCACAGAAGGTGTGCGCACAGGCACACAAACAAGCACACGCGTGCATACACACGTGGCCCAGCATGTATGCACAGCCTCAAGTGCGCGCGCACACATGCACACACACACACACACCCTAGCATGTATGCACAGCCACGTGGGCATGCACACATGCACAGCCTAGCACATATGTGCAGGCACAAGTGCACATGCACACACACACAAGACCTACCATGTATGCACAGACACAAGTATGTGCATGCACACACACACCCCCAGCCCCCACCCACAGACCCTCACGCAACCACAAACCTTAGCATGTGCACATGGGCAGGCACACACACACGGTAACATGCATGCATGAGCACACACCCTAGCATGTATGCACAGGCATGAGCGCGCACACACCTGCCTTAGCAGACACACCTGCACGCTCTCACACGCTCTCTCGTGGACGTGCGCACGCGCAACCCCATGCGCTGTGCCCGGGTCTCTGCTCTGCCTGAGATGCCGTCACCAATCCTGTCCCCGGTTGAGCTGGGGTCTTTATCTGTGCCGCTGTCCCTGACGCCAACCTCCAGGTCCCACCAGCCTGTTTTCCTGCCTGCACAATGGGCCCAAAACCAGCCCACACTCAGTGAGACTCTCCAGGAGGGGCCTGGAAGGACAGGGCCTCACCCCAGGGCCAAGTGCAGGATGGCGGGTGCCTGGTTTCAGTATCTTCCACCCCAGCAGGGCCAGGAAAAGATGGGGGAGGACTGATCTGGGGCGCAAGCAGCTTCTGGGGGGGGACCCGCCATCCCATGACCCCTGGCCTGCAGGGTCAGGAGCCCCCTGCTAAGCTGCCCAGAGGCCCCGCAGCACCGGTGTGGCAGGTGCTCACGGATCTGGGTCACCCCCCCCGCCCCGGGGGACACCGAATTAAGTTTCCAGCCGCCCGCTTCCAGCTTGGCAGGGCGCTGGGCCTACTCCCCCGGGACCCCTGCCCAGCCGGGGGCTCTGAGCGCCCACCCCCCCCTCCTGGCACGGACAAGGCCCCGCCAGCCCAGGCCCTGCCCCCAGCCCCGCTCGGATCTCGTGCCCGGCAGCTGCGTGGCACCTGAAACCAGCCCCGTATCAGGTTCTCGGCGCCCGGGCCCGCACATGGCGGCCGCCCCTGGGGACGTGGCGGCGACGGGGGGGCCGTGACCTCAGGGCTTCGGCCTTCTCCGGGCCCGGACGCCTGGGTTTCCTTGCTGCCTCTGGGAGTGGGGGATAGAGGGTCAAAGTTGGGGGGAAGGGGGGAGCCCCGACTCCTGGGGTCTCTCCCAGGCACTGGTACCCCATGGGATCTCACAGCTTGCAGCCAGCCGGCCCTTGAACATGGTATGGACACGCATGGCAGGGAGGGGAACCCCATGCCCGCCCCCCCCAGCTCACCTGCCAGCCTGTGTCACACACCTGGGCCAGGCTGAGTGGCAGCTGCCCTGGCCTATCGGGCACCGGGGCCCGGCTGAGCCGGCCTATCGCTGCGGGGCAGTGGGTGGGGGGCGGTGCCGGGTGCCTCTGCCAGGTAAGGCGGCTGCACCATGGAGGCAGGTGAGGGGCTGGCAGGGCTGGGGGGGCCCTGCCCCAGGGAGCGAGGGGGGTTTGGAGCTGCCCCCCCGGGGGGCAACTGCAGCCAGCTGCACCCCCTGAGAGGGGGGCCGGGGGAGCTGTCCACAGTGCTGCAGGGGGATGGGGGCGATGGGGGGGTCCTGTCCCTGGCACGGGGGGGGATGGAGCCGGCATCACTTATTCATGGAGGTCAGGGCGTGGGGCACAGCTCTAGCTGGCAGAGGGAGGCCTCTCAGCCCCTCTTCCCCGCAACCCCCGTGGGGCTAACGGAGCTGCCCTGGGGGAGCTGGGGGCACGGGTGGGCACCAGCCCCCACCAGGGGCCTGATCCTGACTCAACGGGGTGGGAGCTTAGTGCAGGCCCCTCATCCCAACTAGACTAGTCGCCCCAGCCCCCGAAATGCCTCCATCTCCTGGCAGCCCCGGACCCCGATCCCAGATCCCCAGCCCCGTTCACTTGGGCTCCCCTCCCCGCCGGTGTCCTGTTTCCGACGCCGCATTAATTTGCACGTATCGAGCGCTGCGCCGGCTACCGTTCCCCTCCCCTCTGGGCCGGGGGGAGCCGTATCTCCCGGCATCTTTGTCTGGGGGGTGCTAACGAGGCTTGATGCTGCTTTAGGGCTTCGTAGCAGCCGGACATGAGAAGCTGGCCAGGCCCCGCACAAGCTTCGCGGACGCCACGGCTGGGACCCAACCTGGCCCGGCGGGACACGCGGCCTGGGGGTCCCTGACGCCCGCCCCGCTCAGAGAGCCATGCCCCCGGACACCTGGGATCTCTGGCAGGAGGAGACCTGAAGGGCCAAGATAGACCGCCCCGGACGCCGGGGTCCCCGGATGCCTCGGAGCCGCCCCGCCAGCCATGGCCAATGGTGTGGGGCCGGGGCTCCCGGACGGGATGATGTATCCGTCGTCTCTGCACAGCTCGGTGAGCGAAGCCAGCACCGCCACCCGCTACCTGCTCAGCAAGCACAGCCGCCTGGCCAACAGGCACGCGCGGGGCCTGCGCGCCAATTCGCCCATGGGCCGCGTCATCCTCATCAACTCGCCCATCGAAGGTGCGTCCCCCGCCACCCCGGGAGACCCTCGCCCCCTTCCCAGGCCGTCTCATGTGGCTGCGGGGTGGGAGGGGACCGTGGCACCTGGGCTGGGGCCGTGCGCCCGTCTGTGCCGGCAGGGGCTGGGGGTCACCTCCTGGCCAGGTGGAGCGGGAAGCTGGGAGCCCAGCTCGGCGACGGAGGGTGTTTGCTGGGCAGCGAGACCCCCAAGCCACTGCTTCTCCATGCTGTATCCCCCTAGGGGACCGGACAGCTGGGTTCATTCTGGGCCTCAGTTTCCCCATCCCCAGCATGGGTGAGCAGGCCCCTGTGCCTCCTTGGGGAGCATCACCCTACTGAACCTTTACGTGGACTGGGGTCACCTGATGCTTCCCATCAGACATCCCTGTTTCCTGACGCTGAAACCTTTGCTGAACTTGACCTGTATGGTCTGGCACACGGCAGCCTCCGGGTCTGCTTCGGGCTTGGATTGGGGAATCCCAACCCCAGCCCGTGGGCCAGACTGAGTCTCTTAGGGGGGAGTGGTGAAAAATAAGTTGTTTTGGGGGTTAAAAACCTCTTTGCAAAGCCATGGCGACCTCAGACTGATGTCAGGGACCCAGCCTGGGAAAACCCAGCCCATCTGCACTGGGAAATGCAGCCTTTCCACATGCTCAGTAGCCATTATATCCGGGGTGGGCAAAATGCAGCCCAGGGGCCGGATGCGACCCACCAGGCCATTCAATCCAGCCTGCAGGGCCCCTAAAAAATGTAGAAAATTAATATTTATCTGCCCTGGGCTGCCTGTCATGTGGCCCTTGATGGTTTTCCAAAACTCAGTAAGTGGCCCTCCACCCAAAATAATTGCCAACCCCTGCGCTATATCCCCGCTGACTCCATCCACGCTGAACAAGGGTCTCTCAGCCCCTGTGCCCAGAGAGCGGTGGTGGATGGGTTGTTCTCGGCCTGGAGAGAGGTGGGCAGTGGTGTCCTGCAGGGTTCGGTTCTTGGACCAGTGTTATTTAATATCTTCATCAGCAACTTGGACGAGGGTGTGGAGAGCACCCTGTGCAAGTTTGCAGATGACACCAAGTTCTGGGGCAAAGTTAACACACTGGAGGGCAGGGGGCGGATACGGGCGGATCTGGACAGGTTGGAGTAATGGGCAGAACGAAATAGGATGCAATGCAGCAAAGACAAATGCAAGGTGCTCCACCTGGGGAGGAGGCATCCTCAGCACACCCGTGGGTTGGGGGACGACCTCCTCAGCAGCTCAGAGGCTGAGAGAGATCTTGGAGTCATAGTTGACTCCACGATGAACATGAGCCGGCGGTGTAATGAGGCCATCAACAAAGCTAATCGCATCCTATCGTGCATTAGAGGCCCACGGCCCTTTTAATTCAAAAAGTCCTATCATGCATTAGCAGATGCATGACCAACAGATCAAGGGAGGTGATGCTCCCCGTCTCTGCGGCACTGGTCAGGCTGCAATTGAAGTTTTGGGCGCTGCACATCAAGAGGGACACGGAGAATCTGGAGAGGGTTCAAAGGAGGGACACTCACATGGTTAGCGGCCTCCGTGCAAGACCCTGCGAGGGGAGGTTGAGGGATCTGGATCTCTTCAGCCTTCGCAAGAGATGCCTGAGGGGTGACCTAGTAGCAGCCTGTAAGTTTATCAAGGGAGGACAACAGAGAGTTGGAGATGCCCTATTTACCAGAGCGCCCCTAGGAGTAACTAGGAATAATGGGTGCAAACTAGTGGAGAGTAGATTCAGGTTAGACATTAGAAAGAAATTTTTCACAGTAAAGGTGGCCAAAGTCTGGAACGTGCTGCCAAGAGAGGTGGTGCCATCACCTAACCTGGAGGTCTTCAAGAGGAGGCTTGATAGACACCTGGCTGGGGTCATCTGACCTCGGTCCTCTTCCCTGCCTGGGGCAGGGGCTCGGACACGATGATCCTTCGTGGTCCCTTCCAACTCTATAATCTATGAATAACAACCTCCCACTGCTGCCCAGCACTGCTAGCTGGTACGTGCAAATCTCCCAGCCACGGGCGGATCTAGGATCTTGAAAAAGGGGGTGCAGACAGAGCAACGCGTCGTCCCATGTCACACAACGCTTCTCCTCCTCCGGTGAAAAAGAAACAGGAAGTTTTACCCACGTGCCAGGGGTTTCGGCCTGCACTATTTAGTTTAAGATTAAAGCGAGAACAAATAGAGCTGCACTGGACGGTGCTCTGATTTATTATATGAAATCAGATGATATATTATGTTGAAAAAAACCCCACGACAAACCAGGTAGAAATCATGAAAAGAGGCCTGTGGCTATCGCAGGAGGGTTTTCCCTTCCTCTGCAGCAGGGGCACGGCCTGGCCTGGGCTCTCTGCAGCGTCCAGGACCCTCCTGGCAGCAGCGGGACGCTGGCGGCTGCAACCCCCCTGTTTCCCAGGGGCAGGGGCAGGGGCAGGGGCAGGGGCAGGGGCAATGCCCGGGGCTGTGTTGGAGTCGTGTGTCTCGAAGGTTGGACACAGGGTTTGTCCGGGCTGGTTTGGACAGGGCTGATCCTGCCTCAGGAGGGGGTTGGACTCAGGAGGTCCCTGCCAGCCCCACAGCTCTGGGACACTAGGACTCTGGTTTCTATGACCTCTGTGAAAAAGGAGACAGGATCATTAGCACCTACAGAGTGAAGAGGCATTAGCAGGAATCGGGTGGATTGCAGGTGAGCCACGAAGCCCCTGAACAGAAATGCTGCTGGTTTTAAATGCTGGGTGGAGCGGGGGTGAGATGGGGACGTTTACCCCCCTGCCCCAGCTCTGATCCCAGCCACACCGACAGCCCCTGATCGAATCGATACAGCCCCCGGGACAGGACTTCCGCTGTCCCAGGCTGCTGAGGAAATCACCCCCAAAAAGTTAGGCACTGTTACCTGTGCCGCCAGGCCGGGGACATGCCAGCTTGTCGCGTCACGTGTGTCATTGCCATGTCTCCGCAGCCAACAGCGACGAGAGCGACATAATTAATGCCATCACGGTGGAGAAGAGCACGGACGGGAAGCTGGGGTTCAGCGTGCGCGGCGGCTCTGAGCACGGCCTGGGCATCTTCGTTAGCAAGGTCGAGGACGGCAGTGCAGCCGGTGAGTGCAGGCACCCCGTGCCCTCCCAGGGGAGCATCCCACATCCCATCATGCACTGCTCTGTTGCACACGGACTGTAAGGATGGAGACCAGGAGTGTGCTACCGCTCTGCTTCATGGCCCTGGTCATGTCACTTCCCAGCCCTTTGCCTCGGTTTCCCCCCTCTGTAAAATGGGCGCGGTGATGCTGACGCTCACCACAGAAGGGGCTCCGGGGCCGGTGCCTGGAGAGCTCTGGCTATGAGCACAGGGCGGGAGGTGCTGCCTGGGGAAAAGGGGGCCAAGGAGCCCAAATTACTCCAACTGGGGCTCAGTGCATCCATGGGGGTGCAGCCAGCAAGGAGTCCCCGGTGGCTCCAGTTCCCTGGCATGGGCAGAGCTGGCTGTGATGGCCATGGGCATGGTGCCAGAGGTCGCACCTCCCGGCCCTGAGACCTCAAGTGCCCCCTGCTCCTTCTTGGACCCGGGCGCGCACCCCTTCCCCCAAATCTCAGCCCCTGCCCCCCACTCCCAGAGCTGGCCGGGCTGTGCGTCGGAGACAAGATCACGGAGGTGAACAGCATCAGCCTGGAGAGCATCACCATGGGCAGCGCCGTCAAGGTGCTGACGGGCAACAACCGGCTGCGCATGGTGGTGCGGCGCATGGGCAAGGTGCCCGGCATCAAGTTCTCCAAGGAGAAGACGGCCTGGTGAGCGCGGGTGCCCTCGGCCCCGGGGACGCCTGCGGGGTCAGGAGCAAGGGACACTGGCGTGCCGGGGTGGGCACAGGTGTTCATGGGCACTCCCGGCAGGGTGGACGTGGTGAACCGGCGCCTGATCGTGGAGCGCAGCGGGTCGACGCCGTCCGACAGCAGCTCGGAGGATGGGCTGCGGCGCATCGTGCACCTGTACACCACCTCCGACGACTACTGCCTCGGCTTCAACATCCGCGGCGGCCGCGAGTTCGGCTTGGGCATCTACGTCTCCAAGTACGTCCCGCTGGCATCGCCCCGGGGCCCGCAGAGCTTCCCTGCGCTGGTCCGAGCCCCCCGGGGCTGCCCCAGCCCCGTGGAAAGGATGGGGAATGCAAAGCTTGCCCCCTCAAAGCGGGGTGGGTAATGAGGGGTGGAGCCTGGCATGGGCAGCTGGCCCTTTAAGACCAGAGCATGCTGGGAGCTGTAGTTTTTGTGCTTGGAGGGGGTGGTCAGCTCCACATGACTGCCAGATGGGGACTGGATAAAAGGGGTGGGTAGATGGATGGGGGAAGGCCATGCGGATGCATGGATGCGTGCATGCATGCTATAGGGACTTGGGCGCATGGGGTCAGACTTTGCAGCTGGCCACGTGCGTGCATGGGCCATGTCCTTCACCAGGCCTGCCCCAGCTCTGCGCACAGCCGGGGGAAGGGGATGGAGAGAAATCACGGCCTCTGGCCTGGGGCAAGCCAGGTGCTTGGCTCCCAGGGCAGGGGAAATCCCTGGGACCCCCTCGAAACGGGTCCTGGATTCCCGGGAGCAAAAGCAGCCGCTGGCCAAGAGCGTCCAGGCGCGCTCGGGGCGGGCTCCGTGGCCTCGTGGGCCAAGCCCCCCACTCTGTGCCCGGCAGGGTGGACCCTGGCGGGCTGGCGGAGCAGAACGGCATCCGCGTGGGAGACCAAGTCCTTGCAGCCAACGGAGTCAAGTTCGAAGACATCAGCCATAGCAAGGCAGTGGAAGTGCTAAAGGGGCAGACTCACATCATGCTCACCATCAAGGTAGCCTCCGAGCCGGTCCTGCCAGCATGCGGAGAGGCCGGGACCCCTGCACCCACGGCCCCACCGGTGCCTGCCTGCAGAGCCGTGCCCCGAGCCTGGCGGGGACAGGGGGATTGGGTTTCAGCCCGGGCGGGCGGGGGAGAGCATGCATTATTCACGGCCACGCGGGGCTGGGATCGGGTTCGCCTCAAAGGTGCCATCTGGGGCCTTCACCGCCTCTCTCTCCGGCTGCTGCAGGAGACCGGGCGCTTCCCCGCCTACAAGGAGATGGTGGCCGAGTACTGCTGGCTCAACAGATGTAAGCGCCCTATGGCCCATGGGGTGGGGAGCCAGGACCCTGTGATGCCCCAGCCCTGAGAGCTGGTGGGGGACTCCCCAGGCTGGCAATACAGGGCCCGTGACCCTGTGGGGTCCTGGCGGGAGGGTCTCCCACTGGGGCAGGAAAGGGTTTCCCCCCTGCTCAGACTGGTTTGCCCTGGTGGGCGGCGTTGGGGCGACTGGTTTTGCTCTGAGGTCGGACCCAACATCGCCCTACGGCTCCGTGCTTTCACCCCGCCAGTGGCCAACGGGCAGCTGCAGCAGCTGTCCCAGGCCTCGGAGACCAGCTCCTCCGTCTCGTCCTACTCCTCGAGCACGGCCTTTGGCGCCCTCAACGGGCTGGCAGCGCCCAGCCGGGTGGATGTGGGCATCTCCACGGAGGACGGGCAGAGCCGCCGGCGTGAGCGGGAGTGGGCTGAGACGGCCATCCAGACGGACCCGCCGAGCGCCGAGACGTGGCGCACGGTGCGGCCCCCAGAGCTGCTGCGGGACACAGCCATCCGGGCCGAGGCTGCCCGCGAGCCCTTCCTGGCCCGGAGACGCCGGCCCGGCCACAGCCCCGGCCACGACCCATCAGACTCGCCCAAGACGGCCCTGCTGCTGGCGCTCGGCAGGCCCCGCCAGCCCATCAAGCGCTCCCAGAGTTACCTCACCATCTGCGGTACGTGCCCGCCGCCCCCGCGCCCTGCCCCAGCCCCTTGCACCCAATCCCACAAGATGGCTGCTGGGAAGGAGGGAGAGGGCTGTCCAACATGGCCGCCTCAGGAGAGCTGGCTGGGATGGGGCTGGGGAATGTCCAAGATGGCTGCATGTGAGAGGTGAGGTTGGGTGGCCAAGGTGGCTGTCTGACGAGAGGTGTAGCTGGGGTGTGGCCAAGAGGGTGGTTGGGGGATAGCCAAGATGGCTGCCCATGGGAAGGGGTAGCCAAGATGGTGGCTGGGGGGGATAACCAAGATGGCTGCCAATGGGAAGGGGATAGCCAAGATGGCTGCCTGAGGGATGCGTGGCCCAGGTGGCTGCCCATGGGAAGGTGGCCAAGATGGCTGCCCATGGTAGAGTAGCTGAGATGGCTGCCCCAGAGGTATGGGGCCAAGGTGACTGCCCATGGAAGGGTGGCCAAGATGGCGGCAGGGAGGTAAACAAAATGGCTGCCCACAGGAAAGGGAGAGCCAAGATGGCAGATGGCAGATGGCAGAGTAGCCAAGATGGCTGCCTGAGGGGTGTGTGGCCCAAATGGCTGCCCACAGGAGGATGGCCAAGATGGCAATTCAAGGGTAACCAAGATGGCTGCTCAAGGGAGGGTAGCCAAGATGCTGGCTGGGGGGGTAACCAAGATGGCTGCTTGAGGGGTGTGCGGCCCAGGTGGGGGTAACCAAGATGGCGGGTGGGGTGCGCGTGGCCACACTGGGGCCCCCGCGGGAGCCCAGCCGAGCCCAGGTCGCTGCCCCCGCAGAGGAGAAGAAGAAGAAGGAGAAGCCGGCGGGGCCGGGGGAGAAGCCGGGGCTGCAGCGCTCCAAGACGCTCGTCAACCTCTTCCTGCGCGGCAGCCGGGCGGGCCGGCAGAGCTGGACGCTGGGCGACGAAGAGCTGGGGGCGCGGGCCCAGTCCCCGGGGCGCGAGCCCGACAGAGGTACGGGGGGCTCGGGGTGAGAGTCCCCCCGTGGGGGGCAGATGCATGGGCCCTGCCCTGGGCCGTGTCCAGCCCACATGGGGAAACCGAGGCCGGGAGATGAGGTGGGGTCGCCACTGCCTCCCTCTGGGGCAGCCCCCCAGGGCCATCACCCCTGGGACCCCTGGGCAGGGGGAGTCCGCAGCCTGTGCTGACATGGGCCCTCTGCTTGCAGCCAGCCCCGTGCAGAAATTCGTGAGCCGGAGCCTGAAACGGGGTAAGACGGGGAAGGGGGCGCTTGTGTGTGCATGCATGTATCTGTGCAGGGGCGTGTGTGCATGCATGTGATAGTGGGGATGGGTCTACATGCATGTGCGTGGGCACGGGTGCATGCGTGTGGGTGGGTGGTGCGTGAGCTGTTCCCCCAGCTTGCAGTCCCAGGGGCAGCACCCCTGAGCCCCGTGCATGTGTGGCCCTGACCACGTGGCTGCTTGCAGGCAGAGGCCCCCGCACCAGTGTCCTGGGTGCCCCCAGCCCACGGAGCACGGGCGCCGAGGCCGAGAGCCGCTTGCTCCTCATCCGCGACATGGCCACCAAGCTGCTTGGCGAAGACGAGGTGGCTGCTGTGCTGCGCCACTGCACCCAGGTGAGCGCGTGGGCATGTGCTTGAATGTGCCCAAGGGAGAGCACAGCACACATCTGCACACTTTATGCACACAGCACCCGGGTGAGAGCATGGGCGCACACACACACGCACACACACTGCCTCGGGGGAGAGCCATGGGCGCACACCTGCCCATGGGCCCCAGATGGGCGCGCAGGCACAGGTATGCACGCACACGCAGCACTCGGGTGAGTGCAGGCCTATGTGTGCACACATGCGCAGCACCCATATCACGAGCACCTAGGCATGTTCAAGCTCCTACACATGTGCGTGCTCTCATGCACACTCTGCACCCTGGTAACGTGCGTCTGAGGGGATAGGGGGGCTTTAACACGACTGAAATTGCCCCTCCCCAGGGCCCTTCTGAGTGCACAGACCGGACCCACTCCAGGCTGAGGGTGAGAGGGGCTGGCTGGGCCAGGCACACCCAGAGCCCACAGTCGTGCTTGCTCTAACCACTGGGTCCTAAATCATGCATCTGGGGGGGAGGAGTTTCTTGCCCTCCAAAGCCCCTCTCCAAAGCCACCTCCTCTCACTGAGTGCTGCAACACCACCCCTACCCCCCACCCCAGAGGTGGCTGCAGCCCAGGGTCTGACATGGCTTGCCTCCCCCTCCTCCCGCAGTACGTCTACAAGGGCTGTGTGGAGGACCTGGTGCGGCCACTTCTGGCCATCCTGGACCGGCCTGAGAAGCTTCTCCTCCTGCGGGACGTCAGGTGCGTAACAGGGGTGCGGCCATCAGTGGGGGGGCTGTGGGAGAGGGGTCTCTCTCCCTGATTCAACAAGCAGTTCAGGATCGGGACCCTTGGGCAGAGAATCCCACCTCCAACCGCTACTTACGCAGCTGCCCTAGTGTAGACGAACCCCAGGAGCCATTTCCAACCCTCCCCCTTTTCAAAGAAGTCAAGCTGGCCAGATCCTCAGGGAGTCTCATCATGCCCATCCCCCTGCGCCAGGCCCAATCAGCCCTGTCTGGACCATCCTAGCCAAGGGGAAGATCCCGTCCTAACCCCAAATACAGCACCAGGCCGACCCCGGGCAGAGGGGCAAGACCCTCCAGCCTGGACCCTGCAGGGTTGGTGCCAGCAGGAGCATTTGCACAGCCCAGTCTCATCCCCAGCCTGGGCTGCAGCCAGCACCCAGCGCCTCCAATGGAAGCAAAACAAAAGCCTTGCATTAAAAGGAAGGAGAAAAAAAACCCTCTGTAAACTTATCCCGGCTGCTTTCATCCGCTTTCCGAGCCAAGCCGCGTGTGGAGCTCTGCTTCCCACTCCTTCCCCGGGCGTCTCCCACGGCCTCCCGGCTCTAGCAGTGAAGAAGTTTCCCCTGATCTCCACTCGAAACCTGCTTTGCTGCAACTTCATGTCCCCGTCCCCGTCTCCGTCCCCCCCCGCTTGCAGCTCGAGAGCACGGGTGCTTTCCCTCTTCTCCGTGGCAGCCCTCCAGGTACGTGCAGGCTGCTCGCACGCGAAGACTCTTGCACCCTGGCCCCGTGCAGCTGCCTCCCAAGCTCTTTCCTATTTCTGTCGCCCACCTCCGGACCCTCTCCGCATCCCGTCTTAATCGCAGATTAGCGTGCACAATCCCTAAACAGTGCCGAGGAGAGAGGCACAACCACCTCCTGTGTCTTGCATCTAGTGCTCCTATTGAGCATGTTTGCAGAGGTCTGCCCTGGGCCGGGGGCTGCTCAGCGCATGCAGTCCTGACTTGGACACCGGCACAGAAAGCTCCTGGAGGGAGTCTGCAGACGGCGTGAAACGGGGCAGGACGTGAACCTGCTGGAGGATGCCAGTGCTGTCCGCAAGGATCTGAACAGATGGGGCAGCCGGGCGAGAGCCAGCAGGACGAAGCGCACTGCTGCCAGGCGCCAGGTGCTGCATCTCGTGGCGAACCCTGGAAACACCAGATATGCGAGAGGTGGTGCCTGGCGGGACGGCCGCACCGCGGGCACAGAGCTGGGAGCATGCCAGGGGATCGCAGCCCCTGCACAAGTCTGCAGCGTGATGCAGTGGGTGCAACGCGGTTTTGGTTGCATCGATGCAAGCGTCAGGTGCGCAACGCGGGAGGTGATGGCACCTCTCTGCCCAGCGCGGGTCAGGCCTCGTCTGCAGCCCGGTGCGGTTCTGGGCTCCAGAAAAAGGACATGGAGACGTTGGGGAGGGTCGAGAGGCAGTGCCGGGGATGACCGAGGGCTCGGAAGGCGAGAGCACGAGGAGCGGCTGGAGGAGCCGGGCACGTTCGGCTCATGGGAAAGGCGCTGAAGAGGGGACACGAGAGCAGTGTCCAATGCTGCGCCAGTGCTGCTGCCAGCATCAACCCCGCGGGGGCCTGGCTGGGGGTCTTGCGCCTGCGCTCAGGCTCAGACCACCGCTGGAAGGGGCTGGAAGGGATTTCCCCCCTGCCCCGACTGGTTGCACTGGGGGTTTTGCCTTCCTCTGCAGCGGGGGCACGGCCTGGGCCTGGGATCTCTTTGAGTGCACTGGTGTCTGGACGATGGGCCTTGGAGTTGTGCAACAGGGTTGCTGTGTAGTTTCAGGAACGGGTTCAACAGGGACTTGTCTGGAGGGCTTCGGACAGGCCTCAAGCAGGGGTTGGACCAGATCCGACCCCCGCAGCTCCCTGCCGGCCGCGCGGCGCCGGGATTCGAGGAAAACCACGTGCACCTCCTGCATGGTTGCATCACACTGCAGACTTGTGCTGACTTGGTGACCCACTGGGCCCCTGGACCCTTCTCTGGGGTGCTGCTCTCCAAACTCAGCTCACCCATTTTGTAGACGTATTGTTGATTTATTCTTTCCAACATGCGGCCCCCCGCAGTCGTTAGCAGCAAACTCCATCCCGTTTTGCTCCAGCTCAGCTTTCCCATCTATCAAGACCTTTCTGTAGCACGCCTCCATCCTCCAGCGTATCCACCGTCCTTCCCAGCATCATGCCCTCTGCAAATTCACTCCAGAAGCTTTGCATGCCAGCATCCAAATCATTAATACTTGCACTGGGCAGACCTCGGGGGATCCCACTCCTAATCTCTTGGCATTTGGATGTAGATCCGCTTATAATCGCCCTCTGCTTGTGACCATCGAGCCAGGTGCCTGTCCACCTTATAGCAGTTCTCTCCAGTGCATCTGCCTCCAGCCCGCTTACAAAAAGGGCGTGTGGGACCTTGTCAAAAGCCTTGCGAGAGTCCAGATGCACTCTCTCCACTGCATCCCCTTCATGCACCAGCATAGTCCTGCGTCCAAGGACCAGGTCAAGTTTGTCTGTCACGATTTGTTCTTGGCAGATCCACGCTGGCTGCTCACGATCAGGTGCTTGCAGTTGGGCTTCGCTATTGAGGTGAAGCAACTGGCTTATAATTCCTGGATCCTCCAGGTTGCCTGCTGTCGAGAAGTGCTATGTTGGCCCCTGGCTAGTCTAGGGTTGGGTATCTGACCGCTCAAAGTTTGCTCCATTGAGCGGTCACATGTCAGTCAAAAAATGTGCAAAAAAAATTGCCAATAGATCCAAGTAATATGCAGAAAAAGCAGAAATTTTCTATGAAGAAATCATAGAAAATTTGGGTTGGAAGGGACCTCAGGAGGTCACATCTAATCCAACCCCTGCTCCAAGCAGGACCAGCCGCAACTACATCATCCCACACAAGGCTTTGTCTACCCGGGTCTTAGACTTTCAAGGATGGAGATCCCCCACCTCTCTGGGTAGCCTGTTCCAGGTCTTCACCACCCTCCTAGTGAGAGAGTTTCTCCTAATATCCAACCTCACCTTCCCTTGCTGCAGCCTGAGCCCATTGCTCCTTGTCCTGTCGTCTGCCCCCACTGAGGACAGCCCAGCTCCATCCTCTTTGCAGCCCCCCGGCAGGGAGGTGAAGGCTGCTATTCAATCCCCCTCGGTCTTCTCTTCTGCAGATTCAATCAGCCCAGTTCCCTCGGCCTCTCCTCACCAGTCCTGTCCCCCAGCCCTGTCCCCCAGCCCACAACCATTTTCGTTGCCCTCCACTGGACTCTCTCCAATGTGTCCACATCCCTTCTGCCGTGGGGGCCCACAGCTGGACACAGGACTCCAGATGTGGCCTCCCCAGTGCAGAACAGAGGGGAATAATCACTGCCCTCCATCTGCTAGCAACCCTTCTCCTAATGCATTTAGTTCAGTAGCCACCAGAAAGGAGCTGGACTGAGGTGAATAATATGTTAAAACACAATAAAAAATCATGTTTCAAGCAAGAAAACTACAAAAAAAAAAATGTAGGGTTTGTTTGTAAAACTGTTATAACCCTTGACCAGTCAAAAACAATATGCAGTCAGTTGCCCGGCTTGCCCCACCCTGTGCCAGTTTTCTGGGACCTCACCCATCTCCCGCGACTTGGCCTATCTTATCACCAAAGGCTCAGAGACCCTGTCCGCTGGTTCCTCCGCCCTGGGGTGATGCCTATCCGGCCCTGCTGCCTTGCACTCATTTGCACGGCTCAGAAAGTCTCTGACAGCATCTTCCCTGTCTCAGCCCCCGGCCTGTCCCCTTCCCTGCCTCTATAACTCTCATTAGCCACCTGGTTGGTGAAAATTGAGGGAAGTAGCTGCTTTCCCCACTCCTGCTCAGAGCTTGCCCTGCCCGGTGCCCCGGGGCTGTCTCTTCTGAGCTGCTATCTATAGACTGCCCCCCCCCCCCCGGTGGTCTCATTGCCTTTGTCCCCCTGATTTAGCCCATGCCAGCTCTGCCCTGCATCCCTTTGCTGTAGTCAAGAAAGACGAGAAAGTCACGAGCTGGGATTTTTCCAGCCTTAAGTCTCAAATGGGACCTGTGACAGAGGATCGTGGCTGGAGGATCTCGTTGCTTCGCTCAGTCAGCCCCAATCGTTGCATTGGGGGGGTCCCCCCCGCTCAGATCGGCACTGACTTCGCGGGTTTTGCCTTCCCCTGCAGTGGGGTGCGGGCACGGCCGCTGCCCAGGCTCTCGGGGTGCGCACCAGGGCTGATTGGGGTGGGGGGCTGGACTGGATGTGACCACCCAAGGGCCCTGCCTGCTCCACTTGTTCCCAAGACACCTCGGGGAAACCCTCGAATCGTCCCTACCGATGCAGCACGCTTTGGGATACCTGCACCGTTAAGCAGCCGCATTCCACCCCAGAGGCAGCCGCATTTCCTGTGACCATGCTGACCACCTCTCTCCCCCTGGCAGGAGCGTGGTCGCCCCCACCGACCTAGGCCGTTTTGACAGCATGGTGATGCCGCTGGAGCTGGAGGCTTACGATGCCCTGAAGAGCAGAACAGGTATGGGGAGACACCCCCCGAGGTGCCCGCTGGGCTGCCAGCTTCCCCCAGCTTGGAAACGCAGGGGGTCAGGGCCCTGATCTGGCCAGCAGCCCCGTGCCCGCCAGGTGTTGGGCACAGAGGCAAGCTGGGGGTGTCTGTCTGCATGGGAGCATCATCAGGACCCCTCCAACCCCAGAGCCCACCCTAACCCTACTCTTGCCGCCCGCAGCAAGGTCACCTGTGCTCCGCCCGGCGCAGCACGACGTGCCCCCGCGCCGACATCTCATCACGCCCGTGCCTGGTCAGTGCCCGATGCCCGCCCCCCCCATCCCAACCCTAGGGGCTTCCAGATTGGGGTGGTCAGAGGCTGGGGCAGGGCCAGTTTGGGGTCCGAGGTCTCCCCAGGTGATCCTGGAAGCTGGGAAGTGATAAGGCTCCAGGGGAAGGGCAGTGTCGGGGTCCTAGGGAGGGGACGGGGGGGCCTGGGGATGCCTCCCTTCATGGCACACCCCCCCACCCACAGACTCCCGGGGTGGCTTCCTGCTGCGGCTGCTGGACCCGCTGGAGGCGGAGGCGGCGGTGCTGCCGGCAGGGCTGGAGCAGCTGCGGCTGGCCCCCGAGCGGCG